ATGATCAGGAACATCCTCATTTTCTGGGAGACTAGAGATAACAAATAAGTTTCTCACCCAGCTCCCTGACATTTGGCTGTCATAGCTAGAATGAGGGAACTGTCTTGCCTTGCTTGCGGGTGGAGGAAAACAAAAACAAAGCGAGTGTCAGCAAAGCACTGAAGGTGGCAGGGGGACTTCTCTACCAGTTTCTCAGCTGAGCAGAGGCTGGTCCTCCTCTCCCCAGCAGATATCTGAGCACCTTCCCTTAGTCCTTCTGGAATGGAAACAACATCCTTCTTCACTAGAGAGTCTGTTTGGAATGTTCACCTGTTTCAGCTGGTTTATTCCTCTCTCTCTCCGCAGGGAGTCACGAAGGAAAACACCCGTGGCTGTTTCTTTGAAGGAGAACGAACGTCTCTTCGGTGATAGTGCTCTGGGGATGGTAAGAGTTCCTGTCCGCAGAACACTGGTATTCAAGGTTGTGATGAATGTCTGAGCCAGGGAATTTTATTTTGCTGTTCTGTGCTGCTCATCTCCTTGATGTGTTACTTGCTCTGTGTACTGGCTGTGTGCTCCTACTCCCATAGCAAGAGTTGTTGCCCACACAGCCTGGGAGGGGTTGGTTTGAGACTGGTGTAGCCAAAGGAATGCAGGTGGGTGCTTTTTTTTTTTTTCTGCAGTCCATAAGGACGCCCAAGGTGGCATTCCGGTACTTCCAGGATCTGCTGGGGAAGCGAATGGATAACCCCCACGTGGCGCTGTACCAGTCCCGCTTCCCGGAGCACGAGCTGGTGAAGGATGAGGCAAGGCAGACCGTTATCTTCAAGCTGTCCCCGTAAGTGGCCGCTTTTGGGTTCTTTGCAGGAAGGACTTTTGCTGCCAGGCTTCTGCAGCTCACTGTTGATGCCATAATTTTTTTTCCTGTTGTAGAACAATACAGTATTCTCCCGAGGAGATGCTGGGGATGGTCCTGAACTATTCACGTGGTCTGGCTGAGGAATTTGCAGGTTGGAAGGATTTAGCTGTTTCTTGCAGTCTCTGTGTGTGTGTGTTTATGCATTATAGGATTCAAGTAGATACCAAAGGTGTTTGGAAACTCAGGGGTTTTTAGAAACAGAATGTTGGGTCTCTCCAGCTGTGGGCTGTAAGCAAGACTATCTGGTTGTCATTTGTTTCTAATATAATGCAGGTTTGGGAACTTATTCCTGTTTCTGTGGGCAGGCACCCCAGTTCCCACCCAGCCTCGTGAAGGAGCCTTACAGGCAGTCTCTGGAGAAAAGTGAAGTGTTTCCTCTCTCAGAGTGTGATCAGAGTGGAGGCACGTGGGAAGGTAGCTGTAGGGGAGGGTGGAAGTAGCCCTGTGAAGGCTGTGCTGTGCCTGCTCTGGATGGAGACTTTACTGCTGGAGCAAAAAGAGCAAAAAAGGCTCTTTGCTGTGAAACTTGCTAACAGAGAAGAGGCTGTAGTGCATATTTCATACTGTGTTGCTAATGAAATACCACAGTAATGAAAACTGGGTAAATTATTAGGAGGCTGTGTCGTGTGGTCAGTGACACTACAGCCAGTCCAAGGACTTTTTACTGTAGAGTGAACATGATCCAGAGGTAATGTAAGGCTCCATGAAGATAATAGTTGTTGAAATCGAAGGCAGCCCAGAGCATTTGAGAGTATCCTGACCTGTGAAAGAGAGGTCAATAGACACGTGGCTTTGCGAGAATCTGCCAGGTCTGCTTGGTTTCAGCAGGACACAGAGATTCATCCCTAGGCATCCTCCTGCTGCTGTAGGATTGCATCCTGTACAAATCTTTGCTGCTGTCACCCTGTCACAAGTCTTTGCATGTGGCTGACTGATCAATAACCATGTTCTGTGCGACTTTTTCAGAGCAGCCCATCAAGGACGTGGTGATCACAGTTCCTGCCTACTTCAACCAGGCGGAGAGGAGGGCGGTTCTGCACGCCGCCCGCATGGCCGACCTCAAGGTGCTGCAGCTCATCAACGACAACACTGCTGTGGCACTCAACTATGGGGTCTTTAGGAGGAAAGACATCAATGCCACTGCACAGGTAGGTGCTGCTGGGAGATGCGGAGAGCCCTGCCGAGTGCCTGCACGCAGGGGAGAAAGTGCTGCAGAAAAAATCCAAAGAACTTAAGGCAGACTCTGCTGGTCAACCAGTCTCCTCTGTTTTCACATGTTCATCAACAAGACACAGAGGTTAAAGCTGGTGTGCATGTGTGGTGAAGCCCAAGAGCTTCTGGAGTGAGGGCAGGTGCTGGGAGTTCCCGTTTTGTAAAACCAGTGTTTGTTCCTTGCCCATGAACTGGGGGAAATAACAGTAACAATTACTTGAGATATTGGAACACTGACTTGGAAGTACTTGATTTTCTTGAGGTTGGAGAAACTTTTAAAGGGCAAAGCTTTGGTTTTTGAGCTATGAAATAGATGTGAAAAGTTTTCTTGTTCTTTTCTGTCAAGTGTGACCCTGAACATCTCCTGTGTTTGGTCTGAGTCTTGCCCTTATGGGATAAAGCTGGTCCAGGGAGTGGATAGTCACGGCCTGTATCGTGCTGAAATCCATGGGTTCTTTCCTTATTCACGCGGATATCCAGGTGTTTCTGCTTCACTGTCCCAGCTTTTCTTTTCAGAATATCATGTTTTACGACATGGGAGCAGGAAGCACCATTTGTACCATTGTTACATATCAGACAGTGAAAACTAAGGATTCAGGAACTCAACCTCAATTGCAGATCCAGGGCATTGGGTAAGAATTCTGCATGAGTTGCACAAACCCCACAGGACTCAGGAAAGAAACCATTTGTTTCACAGTCTTTTCTACATGTAAAATTTTGCAGTGAGGTTTCAGCACAGAAATTTGGGTGGTTGGGTGGAAAACATTTGGAGTGAGAAAGCTCCAGTTGGGAATAACTCTAGTGTTGCTAACTTGTGGAGAAGGTAACTGAGAACTTCCATGAGCCCAGAAGGGAACTAGTGTATTTAGTTTGCTTCAGACTTGCTTTTTGATAGCCTCAAACCATGTAAGCCTGTTCCATTTCATGTGATCCTATAGAATTAGAGTGTGTCAGTTTGAAAAAGAGGAATATCCTTATAGAGAGGAATGAACGTATTGCCAAGCAAAGAGGGGGGTGCTGTGCATAGCCAGCCCAGCAATTTTAACTCCAAAGCATTTATATTGCTTTTCCAAGAAAATACCTGAGACAGTTGTCCTTTGGCTTCTTAGCTGTTTTATGTGCTTGGCAATAGGGCTTTTACCACAAATGTAATGAAATTTCCTGCTCAAAGGCTGTTGTGACAGTGAGTCTTTTTTTTTCTTTCCTTATAATGTGTTGTTTTTGGGGCAACCATTGTACTTTCACAGTCAGTCACAGCTGATAATACTGCAGCTACTTTTTCCACTTGCTGCTCTGCATATTTGCAAAATAACACATGAAGTTTG